TATTTTGTCAACTTATTAACTCATTTTTCTATAGCTGTATGTAAGTGCTGACAAGGTTGTGTGTGTAAATATATATATCCATGGTAGAGATATATTCTGCATTATCTTTTTCTGGGGAAGGAATTCGAAGTATACTACTACTATTATTTAATTTTGTAATACTATTTTATGTTTTTTTTGTAACTTGTGTTTTTTAATAGTATTCGATTTTTGTTTAAAGGGTATTTTCGCGGTTTAAGTATGTCTTAAAAGTGGATTTAATAAACACGTGTCTTAATAAAAAATAAAAAACAGCCTGAGTCAAATTGTAATATTGATTATATTTCTTGTAAGACGATTAAAACTGACTGTCAGTGTTTCGGGGTTTTACCATTCTTATGTACTATTTCTATGTGAAAGGATGTGCTCATTTATGTGCTTATACCGATGTGAGCGCTATTTCCATATAATTTTATATATCAATAGTTTTAATCAGTTATAAATATTGATACATGGATATACCTTTTGAAAGGGTTGACTGTAGCTGTATTATATTATTGAAGAATGTTCTTGTCATGTGTACGATGCAGTTTTTGGAAATGTAATTCTTGCAATGCTGTTTATATGAAGTGCTTATTTTTTCAGTTGGATTAGTATTCAAAATGGTTTGATTTTGCTTTAAAAGTGAGTCCTTGTTGAAGGTTCTTAGTTCATGAACTTGATCTTTGTTGAGGGTTTTTCAATATGTATTGTTTCATTGTTAAAGAGTTATTCTTGTATTTTTTATTGCAGTGAACTGTAGTGAAGTTGTATTCTAGTCAGAGCTGTACGTATGTCTGAGCTACTACCTGATCTATGCTGTAGGTATTATTGCAAAACTAATTAACAATATGGATTGATCTGTGTTAAAATCTTATTTAGTGTGGTGTAACAAGTGTTTGTATTTTATTCTTATTATGCTTCAGTTGTAATAATTGTTGAAGGGTTGTATTGTTTATGTTGCATACAATTATTTTTACAGGAATGGAAGAAAGTTATTCCACTCTTTGACCAAAATGAATTTATAGTTTACTGTATTTGAAGTTAAGTTGAATGTCAGCTTGAGGAAAGGCCTGAAGTATAAGGGTGGGAGAAATATGGCATGTAAGCACACTATATGTTTTCTACCACCCTGTATCAACACAGGAAATGTTCAATATATGCTATTTTTACATACATGTTAAATGAATATACCTCATGTTTTTATTTCTATAATATTTATTGTGAGTTTATTCTTTGTTCTTAGTATATGCAGATTTCATATAACACGTGATTGAGAAAAAATAATTAAGTTGGTCCTGTTTCAAATGATCTTTGTTCCTTTGCAGTCCTCGAAATAGGTAATACTTGATACCACCCAAGGAGAACATTGCTTGATACAACGCTGTGTAAGGATATCGACAGCAGTATCTTTCAGTGTTAGTTCAGGTGATACCCAGAAGTTATGGACTTAGCTATATTGTAATGAGAATGATTAGCATGGTAACGCACGTCACTCTGGGTAAATGCAACGTTTTTTTTTATTTGGAAACTAAAGAAATCTGTCTGGTACAAGATCTTAGAGAATATAGTCTAGAACTTGGTCTTTACCAGAATGATTTGAAAGGAACTATCTAGAGTAATAATATAGTGGTAGAACTGCAAGCACACACACTGAGTTTGTGTTAAGCATGTAATACAGATTGGGTATTTTCTTCAATATTTGTGTTCAATCTCATTATTCTGTTTAACATCAGCTCAATTAAGTAACCACCAATACCTTGAACGAATCTCCAACTATTTAGTGGGCTTGTCCAATAGCTCGAAAGTTAATCCAGTTGACTTGTACATACCATACGAATTTACACATAACATGTTGCTCAAGAAAGTCATTAAATTTATTTTGCTATAGCTACTTATTGTTCAATGTCATTGACTCAGAGTAGCACCTTTGGAGTTCCTATGGGAAAGATAACCGTAAAGTCAAGTAAACTCGTGAGGTAATGACCTCTCTTGCATTTCATTGGGAATAACCAGTAACATCAGTTGCTCTGGATAAGGGCAACATTAATGATTTAAGAAATTAATGTGAGATTTATTCAGTTGCAATATGCAGGCATATAATATATTTTCCACTATCTTTATTGCCTAAATTGAGTGTTATAACGCCCTCTTTATTGCCTAAAAAGGACGTTATGACAATCATATTTTTTCTTTCCTATGGTTTCTGAAAACTGGGTCACATTATATTCGAGATCGCCCTATAATCGGGCTAATACGGTAATATAGGATTTTAACATTTTCTTTGCTTAATCTGTTTCTGTGCAGTTTGGCATAAAGATATGGTTCAGACGATTATTAGAATTGTTTCTTTTTTCTTAATAGTCTTCATGAATTTGCAGCAAATTCACACATTAGTGTAGAATGGATTAATGACTTCAACATCTTATAACTATCTAAATAAGTGTTTGTGTGTTACAACCAACAAATGACTAGAGAATGACCAGTCATATGGTTTCTTGCAAGTATGTAGCCTATATATTTTCTCAGTTGTACCAGGTTATCCACGTGTTTAGTTCGGTAGAAGTCTGTCTCATGAGAAAGAAGGCTATTGATCAATTCATTAATTCAGAATCTCTGATTGTCCATTTATCTATGCAAGTATACACCATTTTTTTGTCTGTAATAACGATTATTTCATTCAACATATCCTAATTTCTCTTTTTTTTTAAATGGACCCATCTAATACTTGCGAGGAAATCAGTTCACGTGAGAATACCACATATTATGGAACATAATTTCGAAATATAAAGTCAGGAATAGGAGATTAGAGTTAGAGTATTTTCTAAAATAACTCTCCAGTTGAAGAGACTGTCCATTATGACATATAAAGTATATTTGTGGTATTCTCAGGTAAAAATTATATTTGCATGAGTATTAGATAGGTAGATAGGTTCACTTTAACAGCAGGATCGAACAGGAAATCCAAGGAGTAATCTGTGTATGGAAACTTGAACAACTTTTTTTGCATGAAAAATAAAAAAGAATGGACAAGTTTGAGAGAAAATGAACAATATTTGAATCATACCAAAAATAACATCTAGAATGTATACTTGCATAAACAAGTGGATAATCCCTTTATCGGGATCATTAAGTATTTGTTTGTTTTGAATTTCGCGCAAAGCTACACGAGGGCTATCTGCGTTAGCCGTCCCTAATTTAGCAGTGTAAGACTAGAGGGAAGGCAGCTAGTCATCACCACCCACCGCCAACTCTTGGGCTACTCTTTTACCAACTAATAGTGGGATTGACCATCACATTATAACGCCCCCACGGCTGAAAGGGCGAGCATGTTTGGTGTGATGGGGATTCGAACCCGATCATTAAGTAGCTCTTCAGAGTCTATCTCTTGAGATGAATCTATGGCAAGCTAGTCATGATCAAAAACCAGGTAGAACTGAGAAAAAATAAATGTTTTGATCTTGAAAGAAAGCTTGTATTCTATGTCTTGCAAAGGTGTCACCATGTGTCTTTTGTTCTCTCCCAGCATCAGCTATAACATACAAACATTACTCACTCAGCCAGCAATACAACAATATTGTTGCGTCAGCAGAGGTCACGTGACTAGTATTACGCCACGTCCTTCTCGAACATTCACGTCCCTTCCTTAAATCTCGG